TCTTTACTCTCTCTCTCTCTTTCTCTCTCTCTCTCTCTGTTAATCGCCGATCGAGTCCTCGGAAGTCTCTTCATTTCGAGGGTTGCGTCAACTGGCCAATGTCCCCCGCGTAACAAGGTGGTCCAAGAATCAAAGAACACTGCGTCTTCCTCGGGTAGGAATGAATACCGTCGCCTTGTCACAACATCTTGCTGAGATAACTCGTGGTACCAGGCGGCGGCAGCAAGAAGGGACTGACGAACGAATGGCTACCGGGTCCGTGGTGAACCGACGCGTATCCAGACTGTTGATTGTGGCTCTGCGCCGAAGTACCTAGGCCGTTCAACACCGGTGATCCGGTGTCGTGTAACTTTCTCATGTGTTTCTTCAGATCGAAGTTCCTGCAGAACCCTTTGCCGCAGATCTTGCAGGAGAACGGTTTCTTGTCGTTGTGCGTGTGCATGTGAAAGGTGAGATTGTAGATCTGATGGAACGCCTTGTTGCAGATGTTGCACTTGTACGCCTTTTCACCGCTGTGCGTCAGCTTGTGATTCTTGTAGTTGCCCTTCTGATGGAACCCCTTGCCGCAGTACTCGCAAACGAACGGCTTGTAATTGGCGTGGATACGTCTGTGCGTGTTCAGGGTTGAGCTTCGGTTGAAAGCTTTGCCGCAGGTCGGACACTTGTGCGGCTTCTCCGCCGTGTGGATGATCTTGTGCCTGCACAGGGTGCTCGCCTGGCGAAAGCCCTTGCCGCAGATCTTGCAAACGAACGGCCGCGCCCCCGTGTGAACCGGCATGTGTCTGGTCAGATTGTAATGCGCGTTGAACACCTTCCCGCATTCGGGGCAGGTGAACGTTTTCTGTTTGTTCGTGGCGCTGAGCTCGTTGCTCCGTGGACCGGGACTCTTCTTCTCGCGTTGGCTGTCCGACGAGATCGTTGTCCGACTCATCTTCGAGAAAGCTTTCTGAATGGTGGTTGGGGGTGGTGAATTCTGCGGAACCGTGGGCGTAGTGGGCGGTGGTGCTGGAAAGGCACTCAGCAATGGATTCGGATGATAATAGAGAAGAGAATAGGGTTGCAAGAGATTCTGATGCCTCAACGTTGGCACGTATTTCTTGAAGGCCGATTCTAAGTGCGCGGAATAAGTTAACGAGGGGATACTGGGCGGCGGAGGTTGCGGCGGTGTAGTTTGCTGATTGTTGCTCTGCTCGGTAAGACGTTTGTCCGGCTCCATGATTTTAGCGATAGAGAAGGTCAAGTTCTTGCACGGTGCGGGCGAGGTGACCCTCTCTGGCGGAAGACTGGTCGGTGTTTCGGTCGCCATTGTGCTGCCAGTCGAGAACGGTTGCATGATAGAGATCTGAAATGGAAACAGGATCAGTTCATTTTCCGCAGACAGGTATTCGGTTTGTTCTCTCGCGGTCGTTGACACGAGAGAATTTCACAGGTGTGTACGACGACAAATTCACCGCTCGTCTATGACTCGGCGATGCTAATTTGGAACATTTGCGACACAGAAACTGATCTAAAGTTCTAAAATTTATCATTCAACGAGCAT